ACCTGTGATGTGTTATTGTTTTTCTGTAATATTCTCCTTATGGTTTTTAAAGAAGTAACTGTAATTTTGCTTTCCGTGGTTGTCGCCCTAGGTGTTGGTGTGATGGTTTATGCTGGCTTCATAAAGAGAAGTCGGGCAGTGTTTCCATTTTTTCCCAATCATCTGGCCTTGTAATTTCTTCCTTAAAAACTGGGTGGACTTCCCCATTACCCTGTGAGTCTGCAGTTGCTTCGTGGAGGGATTTTCAGGTCGAACGTATTTCTTCATTAGTGGAAATGTCTGGGTTTCTTGCGTCTTCGAGAAGGCATTGGCTCGCAGGCATGTTTTCATCTCACCAGCCCTCGCTCGGCTCGTGATGCTGTTAGCGCATGTCCCGTCTGTGGGCCCCTCCCCAGCCTCGCTCCTTGGAGTGGTCCCTGAACGCAGGACTGTGTGGGCAGCTGCTGTCCCTCCGCGCTGGAGGAACCTTCTTACTGCTGTTCTGGGAAGGCAACTGTTTTTTCTTGCTGTTTTTTGTAAGACTTTTCTCTCTCTTTTAAAAAAAAAAGTTTCTTTGTTTACTTTTAAAGTCATAGTTATAGAGACAAAGGGAGAAAGAGATCTTCCATCTGCTGGTTCACTCCCCAAATGGCTGCCACAGCCAGCACTGGGCTGGGCCAAAGCCAGGAGCCAGGAATTTCTTCCAGGGCTCCCGCAAGGGTGGCAAGGGCTCAAAAACCTGGGCCAGCTCACTGCTTTCCCAGGCCGTCAGGAGGGAGCTGAACAGCAAACAGAGCAGGTGCGATTTGAATCAGTGGCCATAGGGGATGTAGTGGGAGGGTTCCTAGAGTCCCTGCCCATCGCTTCTGGAATTGAGCCGTCCGCCAGGGGCGTTGCTTCTGGGTTTCCTGCCCTTGCACTGCCTGCTCAGCACCGTTATTGATCCCTGTACCGCCTGCCCTGACCAGAGGTGGTAGGCACACTGTGACGCACATGGCCCTGGAGAGGAAGAGAGTGCGAAGCAGCCTGCTGGGTCCCGGTCCCTCTGGTGACCACCAGCGCACTCAGATTTCCTCTTTGCCTGGCAACTTCTGGCTTCAGAAGTGGAGGGAGCGTTGGAGGTACGTCTAAAGAGCAGAGCCTCAAGTAGCATCCCGACGTCTGGATGGCAGTCTTGTTCTCTTCCTTGCAGCCTCTTCCTTTTTTCTAAAAGCAACATGCTGTATTTACATTTAGGGAAGTCTTAAAAACTTGACATAGTTGTTTATTTTAAAACTCTAACAAGATGTTTTTGGGTTGGCTAGTCCCTGGTTCTGACTGCACCAGCAGGGAGGATGGAGAGCTGGTGTTTAGCTTACTCTCCCAACTCTGAGAGCCCTGTTGGGCTTATGAAATGTCTCATTCATCCATCTGAAAGATGTCTCTTGGGTGCCGACCACAGGCTGGGCTGTGGGACGCCACGGAGGGCCAGGCAGACAGTTATGGACCTGACTGCTCGATGACAGCTGTCGCCAGTGCCAGGACAGGAAGAGCCCACATGCATCTCCCTTGCCTTGCACATGTGGGCTCCAAGTGTCGCAGGATGGAAGGGACAGGCACCGGCTGCCTTTAAGTGCACGTGAGCACCCATGGGTGATATGTGGCTGTTGTAGCTGTGGACAACAGAAGCTAGTTAGTTTCAGCAGAAAGGTGTGTTTCAAGGAACGGCAGGGTTGACGACGCCTTTGGAAGGCCAGCTCTTCTAGGAACACCCCTGAAAGGCAGAGCTGGCCAGCCGACCGGGCCTTGGCCCACTCCAGCGTCTCCTGCCACATCAGAAACCTGCTTGCTCCTGAACCCCACTACCCCTGTCATAGTGCTGCCCGACAAAGCAGGTGCCGTGCTCTGTGTGTCACTGCTGGCACCTGCCTCACTTCTGGACCCTGCTCCAAGTGCGTCCGAGACACTCCTGGTAGCTGCGTGGGCAGAAAGTCCAGTCACGGTGGCAGAGGCTGGCACCTGCTGGGGGTCACTGCTTTGTCTACGTGGTGTCCATGTGCGTCTTGCTTCCGTTCCTCACCTCCCAGGCAGCAGCTCTGAGAGCTGGCTTTCCCCCAGGGTGATGTAAGCATCCTTTGAACAAAAGTGCACTCACCTCCTCTCTGAAGATGAAACCCTGAGAAAGGGAGAGCGAGAAAAATCTATCCACTGGTTCACCCCCTGAACAACCAGGCTGAAGCCAGGAGCCAGGAACCTGTTCCAGGTGTCCCACGTGGGTGCAGGGGCCCAAGCATGTGCCATCTGCCTCTGCTTTCCCAGGCCACTAGCAGGGAGCTGGATGGGAAGTGGAGCATCTAAGAAATGAGCTGGCACCCAGTGCTGCAGGCAGAGGCTTAGCCTACTGTCCCATGGTGCCAGCCTCAGTTTATTATTTCCTGATTAATTGATTTTTTTTTTTTTTGTCTGAAAGGCAGCTTTACTGAGAAATATGGCAGGGCACGAAGTTCTTCCATCTGCTGGTTCACTCCCCAAATGGCCACAACAGCCAGAGCTGAGCTGATCTGAACCTAGGAGCCAGGAGCTTCCTCCAGGTCTCCCATAGGTCCCAAGAACTTGGGTCATCCTCTGCTGCTTTCTTCAGACCATAAGCAGAGAGCTGGGTGGGAAGTACAGGAGCCAGGACACAAATGAGTGCCAATGTGGGATGCCAGCCTTTTCCTTGCTGTGTCATCGCTTCCTGTGGCCTCCATCAGCACACAGCATTTTGTCTGGGTAACTCACTGCACCCCGCCCCCGCACACGCGCAGGGAGCCAGGGCTGCTGCTCCCACCGCACCCCGCACGCGCCCAGGGAGCTGGGGCTGCTGGCTTGTGGCAGCGTTGGGTGCTGAGCTGCTTGTTGCAGTCAGCTGTCCTACTAGCAGACACCCTGGCCTTGCCCCGCCTGGCCCTGCCCCGCCTGGCCCTGCCCTGCCTGGCTGCCGGCTTAGATTTCTTTCTCTCCACCTGTTCTCAACACTTCTGCTGACACCACTCCTTTCCCTGACAACCTGCCCTCCTGCCGGGTCCTTCGTGCTCCCTCACTCCTATCTCCCTCTCCCTCCTTCCCCCACTCTCCCTCCTTCCCCCCTCCTCCTCTGCCCCCACTCCCTCCCAACAACCAATGTGTCGCTCCCCTCCTCACCCCCTCACCCCAACCAACCACCGGACTCCTTCCTGGTGGCCCTGCTGAGCTCTCTTCTGGTACCTGACCTTGCAGAGAAGGCCCAGTTGCTAATCCTGCCTCACATCCCTGCACCAAGCAAAACCCACCTGCTAAGCTGGAACAAGAAACCCTCAACTGTACTGTGCAGTGTTTCCACTAGGTGGTGCTGTTCAGGTACAAGAAGGAAGTTGTTCCAGGATCAAGGGTTCAAAGATGCTGTTGGCTTCACCTTGTTTCAAAGGCAGGAGCTGAAACATACAAACTTCTGCGGCAAAGTCATCGACTTACATTGCATATGTGCATCTATTTTATCCCCAAATTATTCGTGATGCTTATTTTACTTAATGCTGTTTTGGAGACCCTGTTCCCATTTGGCCAAAATGTTGTTATTTAATTACTGTTATTTTTTTTTTTTAACAGAAACAGAGGTCTTCCACCCCCTGGGCCACTCCCCAGGTGGCACCACTCTGTCTTTCTCTCACCTTCTCTCTTCACTCTGCATTGCTTTCACTCGTGCAGCTTGGGACCCTTTTTTTTCCCCCAAAGATTTATTTATTTGGGCCCAGCACAGTAGTAGCCTAATGGCTGAAGTCCTCACCAGGGATCCCATATGGATGCTGGTTCGTGTCCTGCTTGCTCCATTTCACATCCAGCTCCCTGCTTGTAGCCTGGGAAAGCACTCGAGGACATCCCAAAGCCTTGGGAGCTTGCACTGGCATGGGAGACCTGGAAGAAGCTCCTGGCTTCAGATTGTTTCAACTCCAGCTTGTGGCCACTTGAAGAGTAAACCAGGGGATGGAAAATCTTTCTCTCTCTCTAAATCTCCTTTTCTTAGTATATCTGCCTTTAGAATAAAATAAATAAATAAAATTTTTAAAAAAAGATTTATTTCTTTTTATTGGAGTGGCAGATTTATGGAGAAGTAGAAATAGAGATAAAGATATTCTGTTTGCTGGTTCATACACCAGGTCGGCAGCAGCTGGAGCTGAGCTGAGCTGAAGCCAGGAGCCAGGAGCTTCCTCCAAGTCTCCCTCACGGGTGCAGGATCCCAAGGCCTTGGGCCGTCCTCGACTGCTTTCCCAGGCCACAAGCAACTGGATGGAAAGTGGAGCCAGGACATGAACTGGTGTCCATGTGGAATCCCAATGCTTGCAAGGTGGGATTTAGCCAGTAGGCCATCTCACTGGGCCTGGAGCCTATTTTTTCTAAAACGTGGCTTTGGGGCCTGGCGTTGTGGCCTAGCAGTTAAAGTCCTCGCCTTGAACGCGCCGGGATCCCATATGTGCGCCAGTTCTAAATTGGCAGCCCCACTTCCCATCCAGCTCTCCCTGCCTGTGGCCTGGGAAAGCAGTCGAGGATGGCCCAAGGCCTTGGGATCCTGCATCCACCTGGGAGACCTAGAAGAACGTTCCTGGCTCCTGGCTTCAGATCGGCGCAGCACCAGCCGTTGTGGCCACTTGGGGAGTGAATCATTGGACAGAAGATCTTCCTCTCTGTCTCTCCTCCTCTCTGTATATCTGACTTTGATATGAAAATAAATAAATGAAAATAAAATAAATCTTTTTAAAAAATAAAATAAAAAGTGGCTTTGTTACTGCTGTCTGAAGACCCATGTCTCTCGATGTTGGCCAGCTTTTCAGGTGGAATGACCGTCTCCCGTGTTCATCTCTTGGTTAATTTTACAATGTGCTTCTGTTTTGTTATGTCTCCTTCTAGATCGGGAAGAAGAAATGCTGAGAAATCAGTAAAGCTTTCTTCTCCCCGCCTTGGAGCGCTGTCATGGGGGTCGGGAAGTCTAAATCAGATTCCTGCTACCTGTCTTTCTCTTGGGGTAAAAGCCACAGTGTGGACCCCAGTCAAGGACCCCGTGGGGCCAGTTCCAAGAGACCCAAAGATGTCGCCCGGTACAACACTGGTGGGCATGGCTCAGCCAACAGGGAGCCAGCGGGAGATCAGGAGGTGGCCGAGGGCATGGGGGCGACGCCCGCCGAAGGAGTGGAGGAAGAGGAGGTGTTCCTCAAGTTTGTGATCTTGCACGCAGAGGAGGACACGGCCGAAGCCCTGCGCGTGCAGAGCCTGCTGCAGGACGGCTTTGGTGTGAGACCCGGCATGATCTTTGCAGAGATGCCGTGCGGCCGGCAGCACCTGCAGAACCTGGACGCCGCAGTCAATGGCTCCGCCTGGACCATCCTGCTGCTCACCGAGAACTTCCTGAGGGACACCTGGTGCAACTTCCAGTTCTACATGTCGCTCATGAACTCGGTGAACAGGCTGCACAAGTACAACTCCGTCATCCCCCTGCGGCCCCTGAACAATCCCCTGCCCCGCGAAAGAACACCGCTGGCCCTGCAGACCATCAACGCCCTGGAGGAGGAGGGCCACGGCTTCCCCACACAGGTGGAGAGGATCTTCCAGGAGTCTGTGTATCAGACCCAGCAGCGGATCTGGAGGGAGGCGAGGAGCACAGCACGGAGACAGATGATGGCCTGAGGTGGGACCTTGGCCATGGCCAGCCTCCCGGGACAGGCCGGGTGGCATGTCCATAGAAACAGCCATGTTGTGTGGAAACACGTGAGCCCAGGAGTGGTGCCCCCTGTAGGACACTCCTGGAGGGGCGGTTCTAGATGCTTCTATTCTGCCGGAGTCCAGCTCCAGCTGAGTTCGGAACTCGAGAAGGGTGCGTGGATGAAGCGCAAAGAGGAAAGAAAGACGGACCACTAGGATTTCATGATCACAATGGATAATGCGGGAAAGCTGTCCGCTTTATTTATACAAAATCAGTCAAACTCTGGCTCAGACGTTTTATGTCACGGTTAAGTTGGGAATTCCTAAGAATAATTCTGCCATAGTTTTATAGAGACAATACCTAGAAGTTCCTGCTACAATTCTTATCCTACAACTCAATCTTGTATCACAAAGAAAAGGGGAATCTAAAGAATGAGGAAAGAATGAAAGCCTAAATCTAGATCCCTTGACTAGCACAGGCTCAATGGGGACAGCCAAGACAGTAGGAATGATAAAGGGCCCTTTTTGCAAGATATTAACGTCCAAGCTCAGGCTGAGCAAAAGGTTAACCTCGCAGTAGCAAATGCCAGGATGGATTAGAATTCTTCCGCAGGGTGGTCCGGTGTCCATGCAAAAGGTGGAGTTGCATTCAGGTGGTTGTAGAGAGGTCCACCGGACAGGCCCTACCAAACAGCGGGAAATTCCTTGCGGCCCTGCCTGCAATGGAACAACGCTCTTCATGTCCCCCACATCTACTGCATGGACCCCAACACTGTTCCTTTAAGAGTATCCATGCTCCAAGAACATCCGTCTCACTGTTTTCTTCTCATCCCTGAATGTGACCAAGGGTATCCTCAATTTGTGCTTCAAGCACTGAACTTTGGATGGAAACTTGTCGGACAGATAGTTCAAAAATAGAAAAGCAAGAAACGCTTTACACTCCAAAGCTTGTTCTCGAAGGACACTCGGAGGAAAATGACCCAAAAGGCTGACCATTCTCCCTCTGGGGTTCTGTCTTGGAGGCCACAGCCTCTGGGTACCATTTTTAAAGGTGTGAGGGCCCAGAGCATTGAGAATCGTGGGCCTGGGGGTTGTGAACCTGACACCTGTGTGAGACTGTGACACTAACCCTAACACAGGCTGCCTTCTGCTGGGTCTGCCCGGGAGATGCTTCTGGAAGTGTGGACACGTGTGCACTGGAATTGTTGCGAAAAGCTTGACCTCCAAGTGAAAGTGTTTCATCGCTTCGTCCTTCCTGGCACGCCAAGCTCCGAGTGGGCCGCAGGGACCCCACGGCCACCTGTTCCCTTCCACATGGCCCTCTGGCCAGCTGAGGCAAAGGGAGTGCCACCAGGTCCAGGACCCTGCACAGACCAGAACATTTCCTGCTGTGCTGAGCAGAGCACCCGCTGGGGCAGGGGCAGGGCCTAGGTCCCAGGCTGAGCAGAGCACCCGCTGGGGCAGGGGCACGCCCTATGTCCCATTCTAGTCTGGTGTCTGGCCGCGAGGATGGCTGACAGCAAGTACACCCCTTGAGCTTTGACTGACGGCGCTCTGAAGGCCTTGGTCATGTCCCAGGCTGTAAGAGGCTAGGAACCAGAAACAAAGATAGAATTTTCCAGGGTGCAATGGGTGTTAGGCACAGCAAGGTACCCCCACCGGGAACGCCAGAGCCTGTGCCAGAGTGCTGGTTGGAGGCCCGACAACTCTGCTTCTATCCAACTCCCAGGCGGCATCCCTCGGCAGGCAGATGGGTGACAGCTCAGGGATTAGACTTCTGTCACCCACGTAGGAGTGCTACTATAGTTCTGGGCTTCCGGTTTCAGCCTGTCCACTCTTGGCAATTAGCACATTTGGGAATGGATGGAAGATGTCTCTTTCTGTCCCTCTCTGCCTTTCAAGTCAGTGACAATAACAAACATTTCAAAAGAATTACATAAGGGTTTATGTGACATAGCAGGTGCAAACAACAAAATGGTATTTTTGTATTTGATATAGCATGATTGATTTAAAAAATTTTTTTAATTTTGATCATCTTTATATAGTTGGTTAGGGCCCAAAGGATCAAGGGCTGCAGGAAAGTGGGTAAGACCACTGTTTCCACATTCTCTTTTCTTTCCTGTAACTGTAGGAAGGAGAGAGACAAAGGGAAAAGCCATACCCACCCTCCCACCCATCCCAGGGTCCCCGATGTGGGGCGTGCTCTGAGGGCACTGCTCAAGTGGTTTCGATAGTTCAACTGTTCTGAATTACTGCCAATCTTGCCATTTCAAGCACAATGAAATATCTTCAAAACCCACTGGCTGGTACAGTCCACCTTAGCGTCTCCACTTGCCCAGATTTCACTGCCAGCACTTGGTGGGGGTAGCTGACCAATCTACTCCATCCTCTGTTGTGGTCCCAGGTGTCCTCTGCAGGCTCCAGTGGACTGCCACGTCCTCCATGTGCATCTGGTATGCTGAGCCACTGAGGAGGCCCAGCCTTGACACACGCACTCCATGGTCAGACCACAGGTCCTACAGTTCTCCCATGATTGGAGTTCTCAGTCCAGCAGTTTGATTCAGGAGATCCCCAAAGAAACTTCATCTGAGGTGAATCATCTCAGACCAGATTTTTGTGTGTGCTTCCCAGCACAGTCCGTCACCCCTATCGGCCTATGCATATGCTGATGGTTGCAATTGCTGGGTCAGTTCTGTCTCCAGCCCCATCTTCTACACAAACCAGTGGGTGTTGGAGCCCATCCCGATCCTGGCCACCACACACTTGGCCCTCACGCAAACCAGTGGGAGCTGCAGCCTAGTCAGAGCGATGTGCAATAACCCCACCAGGCCTGCCCCCTGCCTAGTTCCCATGAGCTTTGACTGACATACAGTATGTACAGCAGACTGGTCCAGTCTGTCCCACATCCCGTTCAGCTCTCATACCCGTCAGTGGGCATTGAAACCTAGTTCAACCCAACCAGCCCCACTATCCAGCCCACACACCTGCCTAGAAGGATTGATTTTTAATGATGCCTGTAATACTTTTACAGTCATGGGAAGAAATGTTTATACATACTTCACCAGGTGCTTTTGTTTTTAATACTTTTTAAAACACAAGGCCCCTTGAGCCCAGATATTCTGCCTGATTTTTCTTTCTCCATCCCCTCTTCTCTGTCCCTCAGTGGGACAGTTCATCTCTTCGTGGCCTTGAAGCCCGGTGTTCCCCAGAAACATGTACGTGAGGCGGCCTGCTCTGCGAGTGCCTGTCACCGGAGACCGTCCTCACTGCAGGCCGCCTTTCCCTTCGCCTGAAGTCACCGTGGCTCACCCGTTGCCCGCATGCTTTGGCTGTAAATAGTACTGATTTTTCCTATACTGCGTCCTCTGTCTTGAGTTGTGTCCCACGTGCCTTTCCTACCTGCCACACTCGGAGCGGTTGGTGCTGGCCCAGGGCCCCTGCCTCCTCGGGCGGCAGGGTGCTCGCTTGTGGCCGAGGCCTGAGCAGGACGTAGAACAAGGGATTATCGAAACAGCCAGATCAAGGGCAGGTGTCTTCAGATGCATGGAGGAGGTTCTGGGAGCTTCTGCCACCTGCTGGGAGCCTGCACTGGAGTGTTCTGTGAGCTCCACTGCCTGCCTGTGCTGTGCCCTCACTTCTTGTAGAAATCTGTGTTGTGCCTCGTTCAATGCTTCAGACTGTCTTAGCAGAAAGCCCAGTGTCCTGTGGTTTATACCACACGAGAAAGCGGTTATCTAGCCTAACAGGTGGCAGCGTGCCTAGGTGTGAGAACCCTGAAGTGTTGTTAGAAGCCCACATGTTTGCACATGATTGAATATTATTCAGCCATCAAAAGCACAGAATTCCAGCTCATGCCACAGCAGGGCAGACACTGAGGGCTCCTGGGAGCTTGGAGTGTCATCTGTTGGGTCTCGCCCCTTTGGGAGTTCTGCCTGCCTTGGGCTGGCCCGGAGCATGCAGTAAGGCTGCTCCGCTTTTCCCCTTCCTGTGCCACCTGCCACTCAGCAGGTGGGTGCTGGGCTCTTCCCTACCCCAGGTCCTCATCCTGCATCTTTGCAGATGCTGAGGTGCCCGTGGGGCCCCAGCTGGACTCCAGCCTCAGCTTCACTGGCCCTGCCAGGGTCTGGAGTTTGGGTGCTCATTGTCCCCCCAGCCTGAGTCCCCAGAGTGGTACTGTTGGGCCTCAGGGAACTTCCTGGGATCCCTGGCAGCATGCCCCGGAAAGGCCGTTCTTTGGTTGAGTTTGGCTGGACCATTGGTCTACCTCTGCTTCCCAGCTCACTGAGTGCTCCTCCCCTGCCCTCCACCAGGGGGCCCTCATGGAGCCCCAGCCTGCATCTTGCTCTTTGGACTCAGAACCCCTGTGAACTAAATAAACCTTTTGTATGAGTTGGTTGTCTTGGGTATTTTGTGGTGGTGATAACAAGCTGACAGATGCCAGCCCTGCAGCTCATGTCTGAGGCCCAGGCTGGCTCCCCTTCCAGGTGGCAAGCACCAGATTCACAGAGGGGCACTTGCCAAGCCATGCCATCCTGTGCCAGGTGAAAAAGAGATGGTTGAGGTGCTCAGTGGGGCTTCTTGGGAGGGAGCTGAGGATGCAGTGTCATCTCCATGCAGGCGGAAAGCTTGCAGTGCTGCTCCAGGGCGCGTGCGTTGCCCTGCACAGTCCGGCTGCTTCTGACCATGTGCGAAGCCCCAGGGCCTGAGCAGTCTTGCCATGGCTTTGCGGCTGTGCCCCAGAGTTCAGCCTCTGCCCTGTGCAACCTAGGTTCCTGTGATGCTGCATGGGATGCGACTGGCATGTGCCGGGCTGTCGCAAAGTGGCTGTGCTCTCCAGACTCACGGAGGGTCTGTGGGGCGAGGAGGGGCCCACGCCTGAGCAGTGACCACCACGCTCGAGCCAGTGATGAGCAACAAGTGAGGGGGCATGTGTGTTCAGGAATTCCGTGCTTCTCGTGCAATTCCGAAGAGAAATGCTCATTAGAGTGTGAACGTTCAGTGCCTGGATAAGAACAGCAGCTGTGCTGTCTATAAAATGCATGCTGTACATGTGGTTTGAATTTTCAGCCTTCGTTGGCAGTGATCATATTCAATTAACATGAGGTTTGAATTGGAGTAAGTAGTGCTCGGATGTGCCATTACTGAGTCACTCGGATCGTGAGAATTATTTTGCTTGAAAGCTCAGTGAGCTAAATGGTGGGGAGGAAATGACGATTGCCTCCCTGTATGCACGGGCCCTCACCTCTCCGTGCCTCCCTCCCATTTCAGTGAGCGAGGATTGTGGTGGAGGAAGTCATCCCTTTGTTTGGCATAGCAGTCCTCCCATCTGCCAGTGGGCAGCGATGCACGTCACTGCATGCTGAGCTGAATAATCAGGAGAGATTGATGGGCAAATCGCAGGGAACCAGCGTTAGTGTTTGCACTGGCTGCCTGTTGAAGCTCGACTTGGATGAGGACAGTGGTACGCTTTCCAGGTGCTGCCGGAGGATCTCTGTGGGAATATTGCATAGGAGGCATCAGCAGCTTTGTGGATTGCTGTATGTTCTGTTTACAAGTAACACCAGGGCATAAACATGTCCCCAAATTAGTTTGTGGTGATGTGCCCGGTCCTGCAAACATACTAGAAACCAGTGAGATATGTATCTAGCAAATTCTAGGTTATTCAAAATCTGTCTTGAAGAAGAAGCTGGAAGGACTTGGAGAACATAGCAAAGTACAACAGCAGCTTGGTTAAGCTGGGTATGTTGGTGGTGTGTTGGTATGTTGGCCAAGCTGGGTATGTTGGCGGTATGTTGGTATGTTGGCCAAGCTGGGTAGGTTGGCGGTATGTTGGTATGTTGGCCAAGCTGGGTATGTTGGTGGTGTGTTGGTATGTTGGCCAAGCTGTGTATGTTGGTGGTGTGTTGGTATGTTGGCCAAGCTGGATATGTTGGCGGTATGTTGGCCAAGCTGGGTATGTTGGCAGTATGGTGGTATGTTGGCCAAGCTGGGTAGGTTGGCGGTATGTTGGTATGTTGGCCAAGCTGGGTATGTTGAGCGGGCGTCTGTCTCTGGGGGTGCCCTGTGTGAGTTCCCCACAGAAGCCCACGGGATGTAGAGGTTCTACTGCAGTGTTCATTGTGGTGAAACCCAGAGGCCAGGGTCCATTAGTAGAACACAGACGTCGATTTCAGGTTACGCCAGCAAATACTTAATACGCTTAAACTCATCAATAAAGCCACGCGTGTAAATACAGGGCAATCCCACAGCAATGCTGGGTTGTCGTGGGAAAGCGGCAGAATGAATCTGACACCCTCGTTCTGTTTGCATACTGCTCGAAAGCCTGCCCTCGGAGCAGCCCTGGTGCGTTTATTGATGATGGTACGCTGTTGTCCACGCTCTTCTGTATCTTTGAAATAGTCCAGCTGATCGTTCTAAAATTAGCACACACACTTAGTCAGGCTCATTGCAGTTATTTGAGGAAGATTGTCAATAGATACATAGAGATATTAATGCTGGCAATAGCAAGTCTTCTTAGAATCCCTTGTATCAGGTGCTCACATGACCTCTGAACTTCCCCCCCCCCCATCCAGCTCCAACACTGTCCACCCCATCACATCCAGTGTTGGTCCAGGACGTGACAGTGCCATACCTGCGAGCTCAGGCTTGCTGAGGAGTTGGGGGGTCTCTCAAGCGTCCAGTGGTCAGGCCACAGAGCCTGCTGCTTCCCAGAGGTCCTGTGCTTTGCCCGTGGTGGGACAGTCTTCGGAGAACCCAGAGCACAGAGGACCACAGCAGTTTGCAAGCTACACTGAACTGCATGAGGCGCCTGCCTGGAGTGGAGTCTCCTTTGTGTAGAAGCTCCACATCCTTATTTCACGGTGTTGTCCCCAACTGCCTTTCCCAGACCCCTGTCTCCAGGGACTGACCGTATGACCACGGCTGGGACCCCTGTCTCCAGGGGACTGACAGTATGACCACGGCTGGGACCCCTGTCTCCAGGGGACTGACCATATGACCGCAGCTGGGACCCCTGTCTCCAGGGGACTGACAGTATGACCACGGCTGGGACCCCTGTCTCCAGGGGACTGACAGTAGGATGGGCTGGTTCCAGATGTTTTTGTGAGCTTTCTGAACACAAGTCTGCCAATTCTAAAGTGTCCCGTTTGTTTCCCTTCCTTGCCTTACGCTTTCTGCAGTTCAGCTTTTGGGCACGTGTCCTTCCGTCCTTCTTTCCCACAAGCTCTGAGTGGAAATGGCCATGATGCCTCCCCAAGGTCTCCGCTCCATGTCTAGGCGGACAAGAGGCAACCTGTGTCACTTAGCTTGGATCAGAGCTCACTCTGTGGCGTGGCTGCGTAGCCAGTGGCTTAAGACTCCTGACTGGGTTTGTGTTAGCTGTCACCTTTGCTCCAGTGAGGTGTTGCATGGGTTAAATGAAGCACTGCTTGTATTTGCAGGAGGGGAGGGGCAAGGAGCCGGACTAGGGGCTATTTCAGGAATGTTAGTGTTTCCTAAGGGTGGTTCAACACGGCAGGATGACTGACTAAAAGAACAAGCCCGGCCATGCACCTGCACTGTGGTGCGGGGTTCTGGCTGGGCTAGATCTGGCAGGAACTGTTTTTCATGTTGAGATGATCCTAGATGGGAAGTTGTTAGCCTCTGTAGCCAGTTGAGGCTCTGCCGTTTCTGTTGGGCTCACCTGAACACACAGATAGCCTTTCCCTGCCTCTATTGCCTCATTTCTGAGGTGGAAACAGCAGTGACTACCTCTTAAGAGCTGTGAAACAGTTAATGCAGGTGGAGACGGTGTTCCTGGGAGCCACTTCCCGTTGACCTTGCCCGGACTCCTGGCTAGCTATGAAGACACTGACTGAACCATCAGCCCCAGATCTTGCCCACTGGCCCATTTTTTTCCCCTTCCGGGCCATCTGGGTTACTTTCCTCTGATAAGTTTGCCTAAAGCTATCAAATGATCCATCTGCCACTTAAACAAGAACAAATGTGTTGCTGTTAACTATGAAAAGAGGCAGAGGAGTGTGCCGTGTCAACCACACAGGTCTGTGGACCACTCCGCCTCTGTCTTGCTGTGGCTGGGTGGCTGATGCAGTGGGATGCTGTTCCTGGAGCACAGCCATGGAAATCCGACCTGGTACTGTGTCTGAGCTGACACAGGGTCTGTGGGCGTGGACCCAGCGACTCTAACATGTGCCTGCAGCAGGAGTTCCGAGCCTGAACTGCTCCAGCGTCTCCTTGCGAGCCAGGGAGGACCAGGGAGGTTCCAGGCCTGACTGCAGCGCTCAGAGAGGCTCTGGGCATGGTGAGTGCTTCCCTGTGCCGGCCTGGGCAGTACATGATCAAGATTTTCCTGTCAATAGGGAAGTTAGGGGAATAGTCAGTGATCCTGACGATCGGCCCTTTGCTGAGATGTTTCTTTTGTTCGATGCACTGCGTCTTTAGGACCCAAGCTACTGTACAAATGCCTGCTCCAAATGTGTTATTTAGTTCTGTTTTATTGCTAAAATATATAATATATAATATACGCCACTTGGGGAGTGAATTATCGGATGGAGAATGCTCCTCTCTGTCTCTCCTCCTCTCTGTATATCTGACTTTGCAATAAAAATAAATGGCCGGAACTGCGCCAATCCGAAGCCAGGAAGCAAGAACTTTGTCCATGTCTCCCACACAAGTGCCGGGTCCCAAGGCCTTGGGCAGTTCCTCAACTGCTTTCCCAGGCCACAAGCAGGGAGCTGGATGGGAAGCAGAGCTGCCAGGATTAGAACCAGTGCCCATACGGGATCCTGGCTCATTCAAGGTGAACACTTAGGTCGTTAGGCCACTGTGCCAGGACCTAAATTTTATTTTGATGATGTTTACATAGTTGATTATGGCGGGAAGGCTTGAGGATTATGGAAAAGTGGGTGAGACCATGGTCTCCAAGTTTGCTTTTTCTTCTTCCTGTATAGGGGAAGGGGAGAAGCCACAGCCAGCCTCCCAGCCACCTCAGCATTCAGGGATGGGGAATGGCCTCCCGATGTCATCCCAGGGTCCGGATGTGGAGCATACTCCGAGAGTACTGCTCAGGTGGTTTCGATAGTTCTGAAATGCTATCTCTTGCCACTCAAAGGATGAGAAAATCCTGCCCAAGTCTATTGGCTAACATAGAGCACCTAAGAGTCTCCCTCCATTCATCCAGATATCCCAACACTTGGCTGGAGTAGTTAAATTGTTCTGCCCTCCTGCCTCTGCTATGATACCAGATGTCCTCTGCAGGCTCCAATGGCCATATCCTCCATGAGCATATGGGTATACTGTCCACTGCTCTGTCAGCCACAGAGGAGGCCCAGCCTTGACACATGCACTCCATGGTCAGACCACAGATCCTGCCATTCTCCCATGGTTGG